GTATGTATTTATGTATGTATGTATTTGTGTATGTATGTATGTATGCATGTATGTATGTATGTATGTATGTATGTGTAAATACATGGGTACATGCACAGACGCGTATGTATGCATGTATGAAAGTATGTATGCATGAACGGAGCATAATGCCTATGATATAAGCTATGTGGGCATATATTGGTGTATAGAGATATAGATCAAGATATAGATAGAGATCCGGGATGAAACCCTTAGAATAAAAGATTGAAACAGGCTATGCCAAGAAGCTCCTCGACTCGCCCTCCAAGACCGTCAGCTTCTCAGCGGCCACTGAAGGACAGACCCCGGGCCTCTGCATTCGGCATTCAATTCTTCGGGTTTAGGGCCTATAGGGGGTGTATTATCGCAGTTTTCACTGTCTTATTCTTGTCATTTTTACAATTAGCACCACCACCTCCATCACCGTGTGTAAAAAAAAGATTGCCTTTACACTTGTCTGGTCAGTTCTCACTGATGACGTCTGTATGAACGTATGTATGTATGTATGTATGTATGTATGTGCGTGTGTGTCTTCTCTATGTGTGTGTGTGTGTCTGTGTCTCTGTGTCTGTCTGTCTGTCTGTCTGTCTGTCTGTCTCATCGCGCGATGCGCTGAGCACGAACTCACTAAGAAAGCAAATGTTCTGAACCCCAAACCCTAAACCCCAAAGTCTCACGAGGACTCCTGAAGCCGGAAGATGCCCGGGCTTCCTTCCTGTCCAGTGTCTCGACTCGGGCTTTCTTTACTGCGGTTTTTTTGGAGAGCAGGGGGTTTTCATGGGGTCTTTATAAAGTACAGCGAGTCTTCATATGACTTACATCGCATCTTTCCAGGGTTTTTATATACTGCGCTTAGATTTATAAACTGCAGAATATAAAAAAAGCCCCAGGGAGGAAGCCCATAGTCCCATAGGCGACACCAGCCGCAAGATGAAGAAGTTCTTGCTGAAGTGCGACGCTTTGAAATCGGACAAAGAGGTCCTCGAGCACGCTTTCGAGCTTTTTGGCCCGGGCCCGATCTTGGGATCCGGGGTTGCAAGGGCGGCGGGGTTGGCTTAGGGGTTTAGGGGTGTAGGGTTTAGGGTTTAGGGCAGGGTGTAGAGCGTTTCGGGGCCAATATGGGGTTCAGGGTTTCGTGCGTGCCTTTGCTTTCCCAACAAATTCAGGCGTAGGCACTTCCGGTGAGGGTGGTGGAACTTTAGTTGGGAGTCCTGGCACACCCCCTTGTTTCCCAACACAATTGAGAGTGGGGTGGTGCGTGGGCTGTGACTCTTGCGTTCTGGACGTTCTTCACCTACATAGTAGAAGACGAGGTTGACAAACAAGAGAGGTTTCTGACAATTGAGGTTCCCCGAGATACTTGCCAACCCTTGGTTGAAACCTCTTGCGCAAGTCATTTTGAGTGTCCCAAGTGGATGCTCAGACCCCACCGTTGCGCTAGTTTGTGTGGCCTTTGTACAACTTTGCCACTTCTGGCTATTTTGTAACATGCCAGTTCGCCATGGTGATGCATGCCTGGATGTCCACATATGTATCATGTGATTGCGCGAAGCATTGACTTCTTCCGCAGCGTCCCCGGTGGTTATGTCGTGATTTGGAATCGTTTAGCTGTTGTAAATTCTTCTTGTTGATTGTTTCTGCTGTTGCGACTGTCTTATGGCGTGTGCTTCAGCATTATGTGTGCTCATGCTGTAGCATCCTTGTGCTTTGCTTCACAAATATGACGTTTTATAAGCACACGACGGTTTTTTGACATCTTCCTTCCTCAGGACTTGAGGTGCGAATTGCTGCCCAGAGACTCCAACCTCCCTTACTAAAGGAACCGGCCCCGGAAATTTTAAGAGGGCTCCTTTAAACGTGGAGTGGCCAAGGCATAAGTTAGACAAGCCGAGCCGCAAGAAAGCTCGGAGAAAGCATCGAACGACAACCAGCAAGTTGCTAAGAACAGCGTCAACATGACCCTAAAACGTGGCCCCTCCTTCATCCAAACCTTGCCCTGTACCCAAACCCTACAACTCAGGTCCCCAGGTGCCAGACAGGACAAGACCTCTAAGCCCCCGAAAGCTAACCCCCTGCATCCCACCCCAAGCCCTCAACGAAAGCTACAGTTCCGGCAGAGGTGCCAAGGACAAGGAGATGTTTTGGCCACTGCTGGCACGGGCGGACACCGAGGAAGAGCTTGAATAACGAGTGCAATGTTTGTCTGAAGTGGGGGCGAAGGGGGGAGGCTTCAGGCCTTGGCTTGGGGATGTAAGGGTTTAGGGGGCTTAAGGTTTTCGGTCGTGGGGCTTGGGGAGGCTATGATTGTGAATGATTTTCAACTTCTGCCGGGATTTGCGGCTTACGGTTGATGCCCTGGAAGTTTGTGGTTTATAGGGTCGTCAAGTTTGGGCTGTGTAACGGAAGGGCTGTCGGCATCTAGGGCGTTTGGGAGTTCGAAAATTTTCGGTTTGGGCGTTGGACTCACCGTGTTGAGGTGGTAGAATACATCCAGAAGAGGTACATGAAAAGGATTATCTGTGCTCTCATCACTAGGTGACCGTGCCTTGTTGCCCTAACTAGCACCAGTCGTCATCGTGGCTCTAGGTGATGTGTTCGCACATTTTTCACCCAACGAGAACTGCATAATTATCCTTATGTCTTTCGCGGTGTGCCTTGGCCCTAGCTGGAGCTCGTGCACACCCTTAGCTTCTGCATGCCATGCCACGGTGGTAGCTTTCAACTGTGGAGTCGTGCCGTCACGCTTTCTTATATGTAACACGAAGGCCGGACGCACCTGGCACATGGCATTCCCTGGAAATCGTAAAGCCACGAAACCCAGTCGGTCTGTCGGGGCCGGCTGCAGGAGCTTCTGGAAGAGTACTTGGAAGATGACAAGCCCATGCATGACTGGCTCAGCTCCAAGAACCAGGACAAGGCGCTGCCGCAGCTTCGGCTTTGGGTGCAACCTGGTCATGTCTGCACTGCTTGGAAGTCGGAGATCAGGTCAAGGCGAGCTGTGCCTGTTGTTTGTTGCAGGAAAACACTCCTGCAAACACCTTGCCAGGTACCGGGATTGCCACAGCTAGCTCGCCGCTTCCCTGCCTACATGGTCAAGATGGTGACCAGCGGGGTGCTGAAGTGGAGATGGCTCCCTGGATGCAGCAAAGAGTAGAAGCCGCTTAAGCCTCTCTGAAACCGATACGCTGGCTTATTTTTTTGGCTTCGCTGGGAGATGGGGCTGTCTCTCGTCTGAACCTGCATGCGATGCGACTGAGGTACTGGGTCAAGGAGATCCTGGAAAAGGACACCAGCATGATATACAGAACAGAGACATGCCGTCGTAGTCCGGCCGATTCACCATACAGTAGAAGCCCAAAAGATGGAAACCCAATAGCCTCAATCCTAAAGAGTAATGCAAAGGGAATCCCAGCACTATTTGACCTTAATCCGGTTTCCAACTTTTTGGGGGTTTGCGGTAAAGGCTCTGTGCTGAAAACACGCAGAAGAAGTCTGGGCACAGAGTCCCAGTGACCTCGCAGCCCAGACAACGATGGCCAGGATCCAATGATGGTGCTTCGTGCCGTCATCGTCGAAGGGCATGAACAGGGCTCTGGACCCAAGAAGGGCTATTCCCCGATGTCCAAGAACCAGGCCCATCATTCAGGAGATAGCCGTAGATTAACAATGTTTAACAATACAGTCGTCAAGCTCGACTTCATCACTGCCACCGCAATTTCGGACAGCAACAAGACCAGCGATCGCGGTCGCATATGTGGTAAGCTGTAAAGTACATCGAGTGATGTCCAACTTAGCCAACTGTCCATGGTAGTTTACCGCACATTCCCTCACATACTGTCAAACAGTAACATCATGCGTGGGATATATCGTCGGTTTGAGTACGGTGTACTCATGTGATCAACCTCCTCAGCTGAATGACCTGCATGTTTTTTTCTGAGACACCTTTTGCCAAACGCGAAGGCAAGCAGGAATCAGGGCCTTGAGTTTAGATCGTGAGCCGAAAGTATGCAACAACGAAGATGGGACTTGAGTTTAGAGTTAAAGAGGACGGATTATGATGGACTTCTGTTGGGCGAGAGGTTTGGGGTTAACCACTGGTCGGCCCTCATCGCCTCGGAATTTTTTTGAGGAACCTCGGGCCTGCTGAGGAGAGTGGAGGGCTTTCTGGGTGCAGAATTTACACTGCAGGGCTTGGGGTTTGGGGCTTGCAGTGCTTCGTGACGCCAGGGCTTCTATTCCACGTTGGCCCACTGGGGCTGGCGTCGGCAGCTGGACGATCATTGTATTGATGTTATCGCGTTTGTTCGTGCGAATGTCGGGACGACCAGATTTGAACCAGTTTCCAACATGGTGGGTCATTGTAGTGTTGATGTTCCAGATACTTTGGATATGCAAATTCCGAATAGGAGCAGGCGTGAAATGACACAGTCCATTCTCCCCAGTGGGCGGACAAACTGTATTCAGCAGTGGCAAATTCCTGACAGTTGTGGTTCTGAGAGCTTCAATTCAAGTAAGCATCAGCAAGTGGACCCGGTATCGCTTCAGGCCGCGTCTCTTCAGTGTCCGAACACGTGCTGAGCCGTCACAACACCAAATGACAAACATCTAGGCGGTTGCGATAGGCGAATGTCCGTGCCGCCACCACCGCCACCGCCGCCCGCCGCCACCGCCACCGCCACCACCGCTATTGTCACAGCGACAACGGCTGACGACTGCGACTACGGGACTGCGACTACGAAGATGACGGACTTTTACTACTCCTCCTGCTGCAGCTGCCGCTACGACTTGCCGCCTCCTCCTGCTACGACGACAACAGCAACTACTAGTACCCTTACCAGTGGCAGTACCAGTAGTACCATCCCCACCACGATGACGACTACGACGACCGCCGCCACCACCACCACTACCAAGACTGCTGCTGCGACTGCTCCTCCTGCTGCTGCTCCTGTAGTTCCTGCTTTTCGAGTATCCAACGCCGGTCAAATGCCGGAATCTGAAGTCCAAGGCAGCCGGACATGATGCTGAGCCTTGTAGCGGAGTTGACAGCTCCGGGCGGCAGCAAGAGTCCCGGCAGAAAGGTCCTTGTGGCTTCATCAGGCAAGGTTGACAAAAGCATCTGCGTTCCTCAGCTCGCAGATGCTGCTGTGCGGGCAGATGTTCACTGGGTAACTTCTCCTTACCCATGAGTGGGGTGGCTACACCTTACCAAGTGAACCCTTTTCACAAATCCCTTGCAAAAGGTTGTATTCAGCACCCTGAAGTGCGACTAGGTTTTGCCCATTAGACTCATTTGGCACCCTGAGCAGAACAAGCATGTCATGAGCAGGATTCCCCTTAACGGCATGAAGCACTTTCGCACGAAAGGAAAGCCTAGAGCCTCCGAAGCTGGGACGTTGTGAGACCAAGGAATGCCAAGGGTGGCACTTTCCGCAGCAAGGGCCGCGGGAAGGGCATGGTCCTCATGAAAGGCAAGGCCCGTGGCGATCCAACAGGGGAATCCATGTGCTTTCTGTTTTCTCTCTCCAGAGCGGCTGTCAAGGAGAGAAAGTTTCGATTCAGGGATCGTGTGCAGCAGTTCAAGGCTTTGGACAGTTTGGGACAGGAACCTCACAGAGGCATTGGCAATTTTGCATAAGGTTTTACGATCAGGCTAGGTTGCAGCATTTGTTGTGCTGTCGTTTGAGAAGTTTTGCTGTTCTGGAAGCTCGTTTGCTGCATGCTTGCGAGGAATTTCAGCCGTGAGGCAACAGCAGCGGCAATGTCCTTTTCGTATGGAAGTGCAGTACGTCCCGATTCAACATGCTTCTCTCTCCTTCTGACTCTCCCTTTGGTGTGTGCATGTGTGTGTGTGTGTAGAGCTGTTGTTGCTCGCATGGAAATGTATTACGTCCGGATTCGACGAGCTTTCCTTCCCTGTGAATGTTCGTGTGGGTGTGTTACAGCCGCCCAAGCAGATGCCATTGCTGAGGGTAGCACTAAACTATACTCCACTATTTTTCAGAAGTCGTCATCGTCATGGCTACTCTCCTGCGGTAGCACCAGCATGAAGAAGATGATGACGATGATGATGGTGATGCTGGTGGTGATGGTGATGGTGATGATGATGAGGACGTTGACTATGATGGAGTGTTGAGCCGTATTATCTTTATGAAAAATGCTTTCATTATTATTTTTAAACACTGTCGTTGTTCTTGTCAATCAATGCACTGCCATTATTGAATTTGCCCCCTCTGATTCCATGTGAGGCAAAGGCTCCCAAAGTGATCTGGGACTCCCCGGCCGCGAGCAAGTGCAGCGACTGGCGAACGAGCTGATGGATGTCACCTCCACGCGCAACGCTATGACGACGAACAAGAAGATCGCGATGCTCATGAAGCTGCTTTTCGTGGTTAAGGACGGAAAGTAGGTCCAGGTTTGTTGTTCCGCAGAAATGGGGGGTCGAGAATATTTCCCGGTTGTAGAACTTTGTCACAAGATCGAATCCGTGCTCTTTTTGCAGCCGCGCGTGAGCTGAGGATCTGGGATACTCTTCCGGGCACCCACAAAGTAGCACGGATGGCACAGATGTGTCTCGGACTGGGGAGTGCGTAGCAGCTGGCCATGTTCAGCCCAGCGTCGAGTACCAATGTGTCCAGAAAGCCTCTGCTTACACCGAGGGTAGAATCATACCGGTTCCCTTCCAGCAAAAGATATTTTGTCGTGACTGCGGGCAGACGGTGCTTGCCGGAAGTTGCTTTGTTTTTCCAAGGTTCGGGGAGCTTCTGCCCAGCTTTGCCTCCGATGAGCACCGGCAAGGAGAGATCTCCAACCTGATTGCAGCCTTCTGGAAGATGCTTCAGGACGTGGGTGCCGACCTCAGCGCTGTTGGAGGCTCCTATCTTAGGAATACCTTGGGTTCCATAAACGGGTGCTTAACCTATCCTGTCCCCCTTTCTCCGCGCAGGGTTGTCCCCATACCTCACGCCGCTGGACTCCTTTTGTCGACTCCTACCGCTTTGGATTGTTTGGCCGTCGAACTTGCTCGGGAACGCGGCCCTTCACTTGTTTTTTTTGCGCTTTTTTTCTGAATTTCCGTTTGTGGGTTCATGCGCATGCAACCATGAACTGAACCAGATCAGTCAGAGCAGCCACTGTTAATACTGCCAATACTCGTGGCAGAACGTCCTATCAGTAAACACAGTCGGCGAATGAATCGCAAGTCGTTGCGTTAGCCATGAGTTGAAGTTTGATTGAGGCCGATCGGACCGTCAAGATCTTCTGGTGGGACCACTTGTGGCCTCCGGGCCACAAGGAGAAAAGCGACCTACTGGCATCACGGAGTTCTTTAAGCTCTTCGTGAGGCCGGGCCTGCTTGTCGGGACTGGTGGTGGTGGTGGTGGTCGTGGGAAGTTATGCATGTTTGTATGTATGCGTGTATGTATGTGTGTTTGTTTGTGTAGATCGAAGATAGATAGATAGATAGATAGATAGACAGATAGATAGATAGTAGAATTGTAGAGTTGTAGAAGGGTAAGATACCCCCAAAGTGGGGAGCAGAGCCTCCCTGTGCAAACCTTGTTTGCTCGCTCCAGGCGTTTGCCACCGCCTCTGGCAGTGACGCAGCTTTTCAAGATCCTGGAGGAGTTCGAGGCCTGCACATGTCGCTGAAGTGAGCCACCTGTTCCCTATAATGTAAGGGCCGAAATAATTACCTATCCTATACTGTTCTGGGGGCTCCTTACTATACAAGTATAGTATAATGGGCCTCAACACCTTATTCCAATGATTAAGGCCCCTACATCAAGTTCCCTACCGTTCCTTCACCTCTGTTCCTCGTCTGGCGAGTCCCAGATGTGAGAGCTGATGCAACTGGAGATGAGCTCAGCCTGTGGTCTGGGCGCAGTATAGGATGGTTGGTAAGTTGGTGGTGGTTTCCACAATGCCGGTTTGCGCAATTTGATGAAGACGGTTGGGGCTTCTTCGGAGGATGAGCTCTGCTTTATTTTTCGATTCCTGAGGCTTGAGGCTTAAGCTTTAATAAGCAGGTTTGCCCAGCGCAGCTTCCCGTAGGCAGCGCGTGTGCGCCTGATGCTACCGGAATCGTCTTGGAAAGCAGAGATCGCAAACACGGCGTGTCTTGCTTGTCATTCTACGATCCCAACAGTAGAGGCTTCGGCCGTCGGCATGCTCGGAGCAGGCTGGCACGCCGGCCTACAAGTTCGTGCAGAGTGACATCTGCAAGTCCAGCAATGGTAGACATGCTGCTCGGCGAGACCAGAAGGAGACAGAGAGACAGCGAGAGGCGCACAGCTCGAACCGCGAACGCAGGGCCTGCACTTCCGGCTTGTCGTAAATCAGCCTCAGGATGACCTCATGAAGAGTGTCTTCAAGAAATACTTGCTGAAAGAAGACGAGGCCGCAAGAAGTTCTGGAAGGCATGGAAGTCGCAAAGCATTCCTGGCACCGTTCCCTGCCAGGGCCCAGTGAAGGCAGCGGAGATGTTCCAGGTCCTGCTGAAAGATGCCCGATCCCGAGACATCATCCAGACCTCCTACGACACTCTCCTGGAGCACCTGGAAGGCACCCTCTTGAAGCTCGGGCACCTGCTTGCTTGCATGGGACCACCAGACCTCTCAGGGGCCTGAGGCCACGGTCTCCCTGAATCCAAGGGTCCAGCACCCTTGGACAGGGAGAACTTTCAGTGCAATGACCTTGATCAGGGAACTTAAGATCCTTTGTTCTTTGGGAGGATGCCCAACATGACTTGGGGAAGGTGGCTTAATTGAGGTCTCTTGGAAGATAGCACCGCCTGGTTGACATTCGAAGCCCTTTTCGTAACCAGAAGGGGAGATGGAACGAACCGCGAACGTGCGATAGCAGGCTAAGTTGTAACTTTTTTCTCTTCGGCTCTTAGACGTAACTTTTTCCTACCCTGCCTACCCCACTATACCCCGCCTGCCCCACCTACCCCACCTTCCCCCAACCAACCCCGCAGTCAGGCGTTGCGTAAGAGGAGGGAACGAACTCGTTCACACAACCATGCATGCGTGGCTTGAGGCTAAACCAGAGGACTCTCTTGCTTCGAGGTGGCTGTTATCCAGCAGAGCTTATTACCGAAAACGAAAACCCTGAGAAGTGAATCCAGCATGAACCTTTTCCCGAAGACGAAAACCCTAAGGAGTGAATCCAGCAACAACCTTTTACCGAACACGAAGACCCTAAGGAGTGAATGCAGCGAGGACCCTTAGCCTTTACCCGAGACGAAAACCTTAAGGAGTAAACTGCCGAAGACGAAAACTCTAAAGAGTGAATCCAGCAGGAACAAAAGACGAAACCCCAAGGAATGAATCCAGCAAGAGCCTTTGGCCCAACACGAAAGCCCTCAAGAGCGAATCCAGCGAGAACCCTTTACCCAAGACTACAGCCCTAAATGAACCTTGCGTGACGGTTCTGGTTTGGTGCGAAATACAGCACAACAAAGGTGGGCTGGTGTTGAGTATGAATACAACCGAAAAACTTAATACACCATAAAAATTAGTGGCTTGGTGCTCACGACACCAAAAAGTTACAAGTCAGTCATTTTGCTGAAAAAGCTGGAAAGTTACATCTGAGAGAAAAGTCACAACTTAGTGTTCTACCCGAACGTGCTCTGCGAATATAGTGACATCATAGCGCGGAAATCTAGTATCCGACATTCAAACGCATAACTTAAGATTGGTGGTGATGGTGATGATGACGATCAGGATGGTGATGATGACGATGGTGATGCTACAGATGATGATGATGATGATGGTGACGACGATGACGATGGTGATGATGTCAAAAGCACGGAACAAGCGGAACCCAATCTGGACCCCAAGGAGTATCCGTAGAGATGCGAGCCCCGCAAGTTTAGAAAGATTGCCATGACCAGTACGATTCCAGTGTTATTTTTACAATTACAGCGAAAAGTGTGAAGAGCGACCCGTTTTCGACTCTGCTCAGACCACTCGGAGTTGGGCTTGCTGCAGAGTGTGGTCCAGCGGATGGGCCTCTCGGGCTACAGGGGTGTTTGGTTGCCTTTGGGCTGGGGGGGTGGAACGGTTCGGGTCTTCCACTCTAGGACTCTGGGATTCAGAGTTGAAGATTTGGTGATTCAGCCTCCGTGTGACCATCAGCCGATTGCGCAAGTCCTGATCAAAGAATTTATTCAGGCTCTGTGATGATCGCCGCACTTGAGCCCGTGGCAGATTCCACCGGTATAGAAACCACATCCACAATACACCAACTCCTGCAAGTTTACGACCCTAGAGACCCCGCACTGAAGCCAGAAAAAAGTGCGAAGCGCAGATTGCGCAGCGCCCTTAGAGTTGAGACTCACCCCTCAACTCGATTATTACCTACGAGCCGTGAGATTAGGAAAGCTCCGAAGATTCGGGATGTGATATATATATATATATATTGTTTCCATGTTTCCATAGGTGGGGAGCCCTCACCTGCCCAGCTCGAGCTGGGATAGCTTCATTCCAAAACCTCGAGCGCTCAACACCAAAGCTGCGAGACTCTCATTGCACCAACATGTTTGACAGCAGTTACTATTTGCCGTGATTATGACTATATAGTATGACGAAGTACTACAGACTGCGGCAACCTGAACCGAGATGTCTGTCCGTTTTGGGATCCCCAAAATACTACGGCACCCTTCTCAAAGGGACCCTACATGAGACGCTAATCTAGAGAACTACCCATATAGAGCCCTTTTTGTACCCTTACAGGAACCCCCTGTAGGTTCCCTTTAAGGAACCCTCAAAGGGACACGATTTCCCCCGGTACCCGGGCGGTGATGCGAGGCAGTCTGGAAAAGCAGTCCCGCACGAAGGGCACCCGAGAAATCACGCCGGAGGCTGCAGAGCTTGGGTCCGACAGTTGTAACGGTACATATATGTATATGTATAATATGTATATGTATGTGTATCTGTATCTGTATCTGTACCTGTATGTATATGTATATGTATATGTCTATGTCTATGTATATGTCTATGTCTATGTCTATGTCTATGTCTATGTCTATGTTTATGTCTATGTCTATGTCTATGTCTTGGCTATGTTTATGTTTATGTCTATGTATATGTATATGTATATGTATATGTATATGTATATGTATATGTATATGTATGTATAGATGTATTCATGTATTCATGTATGTATGTATGTATGTATGTATGTATGTATGCACGTATGTGTATATATGTGTTTACATACACATAGATAGATAGATAGATAGATAGATAGATAGATAGATGGATAGATAGATGTCGTGTAAGTTTGTGTTTTCGCCCGTTGCACTTTGCTAGATCAAGTCAAGGTTGGTATAGCAGCACGTGCAGTTCATTCAAGTATGGCTGTGTGACTACGTAATGCTGCGAAGACATACTCGGAGATCAAGAGTGCTTATCATTCAACCAGCGAATACTTTGATGACATTTTGCTCCAGGGACACTTGCTTGCATCTTTCCCCGTTAGGCTTGGTTCACATGCCCCCGCACTCTCAGAGCAGTAGGTCAGTAGTGAACGAGTAGTAATTACCTGTTTGCAACGGCGTTCAATAGCCACAAAACCTCAGCCCACTACCCTTGCAAGATACAGTCAATTAGAGTCACCGCCTTCGCGTTCCCTTGGGCTTGATTCCATGTCCCCGCACCCCCCGTGCAGTAGGTCAGAACGACAATTGAGAGGTTCATGATTCAACGAGCAGTATCTGTTTGCCAAGGCTTTGAAGAGCAACAATACCTCAGCCCAGTAAGCCCGCTACCCTTGCAGGGTATCGTCAAATAGAGTCGACGCCTTTGCGTCCTTGTGCTGCGGCCATGGCAACTGCATTGAAGATGATCCTTCTACCCGGTACTCGCTGCAACGACGGCAACCCTGGTGCCATGTATTTGAGCCCGGTGCCAGTGAAGCTTAATTACCTTGCTGAGCAGATTTTTGTTGGAATCCTTATCGAAGTTAGGTGTGCTGAACCCTGATAATGCCCCACGGGAACTGCAGCATAGCTGAGGAAGAGCTACGTTGGGAAAACCGTGTGGCATGTTCATTTGGAGGGCGGCGGCTACTGCTACGACCAGGAAAGCTGCGAGTCACCAGCTACTGGGCCAATGTTTGAGGTAAGGAAGGCATCGGGTTCAAGGTAGGGGCCCTGCGATGCCCAAAAACAGAGTAAATAGAGAGGCCTCTGAAATATACAAGCTCTGTCTCTTGGGTTCCTCAATCTGTAAATACTCATCTCATAATAGACCCCAAAGCCCTATTCTATAAAACAAGCCCCTTCATTGGATGTTTCGGGGCTTCGGGTAAAGATGGCTCGGTGCTGATGTTGTCTGGCGCTTTGGGGCATTTGAGATGGTTTGGTCTAGGGCAAGATGGTTTCGGGATTAGGGTTCTGAAAAGATTCAGAAGAAAGGCAATAGTTTCAGCATTGAGGCTTTTGGGTTTAGAATTTAGGTTTCCATGTTTTGGTAAGCCTTAAACCGAAACTCTACATCTTAAGCCCAAACGAAGCCTTAGCAACCAGAAGCAGTCTTGGGAATCTCCGGACAGAAGATGGCTTCTAACGGGCACCAACACTTTCCCAAGGCCCACAGCGATTTCCTGGAGTCCATGCAAAAGCGCAGCAGACAGATTTGGAAGGGCGGAATTTTCGCACGCGGTCTTGGGGCGACGCCCTTCCTCGCCACAGCTGCTCATGCTTATATCGGGCATCTCGCCAGCCGTCCTGAGGAAGGTTCAAGGCGGAAAATATTCAGGGCATTCTGCACTGCTGCTGCTTGGGACCATGGTTGAAACTTGGCAGTTTAGGTCCAGGGTCAGGCTTAAGGCTTTGGGAGAGCCTTGCGAACCTACCGGCTGTCGGTGCCCTTTCAAAGTGTCTAGGATCCGTAGGAAAGACTGGGTTGCGCAGCCTACGGCCAGAATTGTTACCGGTTTGTAAGCGTTGGCATGGGGTTTCGGGTTTAGGGTTTAGTGTGTACAGAGGTGCAGATGTATGTAGGCAATGCGAGTGGGCGAACCGCGGTATACAGATATGTAGTCAGATAGCCACCGAGTGATATGCACACATTCACATAAAGCGCGCACACACAAGCACATACCTGCATGCATACACACATATATATATATATATGTGTGTGTGTATATGTATATATATATATACACATGTATACACATAATGTGTAGGTATGTCAAGAAACCATCGTCCTACCTGTCCCAGTGCCAGCTTTCCGTGCTCTGCTTCTCCTCAAAGCCGAAAGTGTGGCAGGCAACCTCAACTTTCAGACGAAAAGGGCTTCGTACTGGGTTCTTGAAGATGCAACAGGTTACAGAGATCTTTTTGGCTGTTCCAGATTTTTGCCTTCAGGATCTGCCAGGATACCTCACACTGCAGCCAAAAGCAGAGAAAGTCGACAGAAAGCAGTCCGCGACTGGCTCTCACGATCTCAGTACTCCGCGAAACTTGCATAACAAAACCCTTCTAAAGTAAGAGCAGCCACGGCAGAGGACCGCCAAGTTGGTTAAGGGCAGAAATGGCATCTTCCCAAACCCCAAACACAAAAAGCACATCTCTTATGGTTTGTGTGAAGCTAGAGGCTATAACCCTGCACTAAACCCTGAGCCAATGTAGGGCCTAAAAGGCAGGGAAGCTCTTTTCTGAGGTACTGCAGTTCGGACTCGTGGATGGGCAATACTTCTCGAACATGGCGCGGTCATACCTGGTACTTTGAGGCTGCCTGTGTATTATATGTTCGTAGACTATCAGATGCCCCCAAAGCTAATGGCCCCTATATTTGGGTTTGAGGGTTTAGGGCGGGCGCAGGGCCCATTAGCATTCTAGGGTGGGTTTAGGGTTTAGGCCAAACAGTATGTGCTGGAGATAGAGTATATAACCTGAAGAATCGGAGTGTACCCTGTGCTACTCTGAGCCCAAAACAGATCGGTCCACGCTCCTTTTTGCGGTGGACGTCCTTTCGTCCTAAACTCCTGGATATCAGGAACTTGCTATGCTGCCTCGCTAAGAACGCCTCAGCCGAAGAACCAGCAGAAACATAGCACGATTCCAGGCTGAAGATGCTGGCTCTAGATGCCAAGCCCTGAAGTCTTTGATCCTCAGCCTACCAAAAACTAACCCTAAATTATAAGAACATATGCTTAAAACCAGGACTCTCATAAGAAAGGCTCGTTTGGGGGGGGGGGTGCTTGTCATAAAGAGGACTCCTAAACCAGGGTGCGCAGAATTTGATTGAACCATTGTTGCATTGATGTAGCTCCGAGATCAGGGCGCCCACATCTTGGCGACTGCAGTCTCCTCCCTGCTGGAGCAGCACGGCATGAAGGACCCATCGATACGGTTGATGATATAAATCCTGCATTACCTTATAAGGACCCTAAACTATGGGAATTATGATTATGGTATATTCCTTAATGGGTAGTGCAGGATTTACAGTAGAAGCTCAAAAGTTGGAAACCCTATAGCCTCAATCCTTAAGAGTAATGTATAAGGAATCCCAGCACTATTTGTCCTTAATCCGGTTTCCAACTTTTTGGGGTTTACTATATATCATCAACAGTAGTAATACCGAATAAGGCCGATAGCAACCAGTCAGAGGCATAAAACAAAGCAACCACCAGTTTAACAAGCACTTCCTACACTGCCCTGTAGCAAGGTGGCGATGTGCAAAAAAGCAGCACAAGTTCAAGCAGCCAAACTGTCAATTGGCAGTACAAAGTCAGGCTGCAACTCTCAGATTTTGTTGGCACCAGGATCTAGGTCTGAGCTGGTACTGTAGTCTGGTAGTATAACATTTTACTGTGATGTGTAATAACATACTGCAACTTGAACATGCAACACAGGGCGACGTTGACCGGATGCTCCGGCGCAATGGTGGCACACTAAACATGTAATGCTGGCAGGGTTTAGGGCAGGGGGGTTCTGTTAGCATGAGTTCACCGCCATAACAGCCCCCGAGATTTGAACCCTGAACCCCAACCTCGAAACGTTTTCCCCGTGGAAGCCGGCAGAACGCTGCGCTGGTGCTCTTCAGCGGCTGCAGTGCTGGTGGTCGAGGTTGGAGAGCCTAGGGTCTCACCGAAAAGCTGAGAAGCTGATCCGGATCTCCGGGCATAAACTTCTTCATGCACGGTAGGCTGACAGATGTCAGATGTCAGGGTGTTCACACGCAAGGTTGAAGGGTTCAGGAGTGACCAGTGCTGACTGGTGGGAGTCGGTGGGAAGGTCACCGATGCATAGTGGCGCAACGAAAAGTCCAGGAGGAGTCAGCTTACATTTGAAACGATGTCTCCCGCCGAAAGTCTTGGAACCCCCCCAAACCGAAACCAGCCTGGTGAGCAGAACAATCACACGCCAACACCCTTGACTTGAAAGATCGGGCCGCCTGCAGCTGTGATGGTGTCTGTGGTGCTGATGCCCAATCTGATGCTGACGAAGCTGATGCCAATGCTGCAGCTGGCGTGCATGCAGAGGGTGATGGACAATACCTGTCATTGGGAACAAGCAAGCGACATACCACGGTAATGACAAGAATGACAAGAACTGATCATGAAATATGTCCACATATGAATGTGGGGGTTCCTCTGGTGTTGGCGAGTAGTACTGCCACTCATACAATATATACGGGCATTATTGCTATTCACTACAGCATGTTGCGCAGTCATATCCGCGATAACTCCTCTCTTCCTCTCTCACGGGTGTCACGAGGCATGGTTTACAACTTGGATGGCTTGTGCCGCCTTGTCCATGCCTCTGTGCCCAAAGCGGCCTGCGCGGGATTGGGAGATGCTGCCTGGTGGGTGGACAGCGGCCTGGCCGAGAGGTTGGCGGCCTAAAGGATCCTTCGAGAAGTTGGCATTACAAATTATTTTTTCTACATGGTGCCTGTACTGACATGCACGCGCACGGGGGATTCTCCCTCTACATACATGTCTGTCTGTACGCTTTTTTGTTTCTTGTTTTTTTTTTTTTTTGTGTGTGTGTGTGTGTTTGGTTAGTTTGTTTCTTTCTTTGTTGTTTCTTTGCCTGCTTGTTTGTTTTTCTGTGTGCCTGCAGGTTCGGATGCTACGAGCGCATGTGCATGTGGCAGTCTTTATATCTATCCATCTATCTACCGTCTACCCGTCTGTTTGCTCGTCTGTTTGTCTATCTATCTCGCCAGCTAGAAAGCTGTCTATCTATCTATCCGTCTATCGATCTATCTGTCTATCTATCTGCCTGTGTATCTGTCTACCTATCTAATCTATCTATCTATCTATTTATGTATCTATCCAGCAGCTGGCAATCTTCGTATACGTACATATGTATGTATGTATGTATGTATGTAAATATATATATATATATAGACACGGGTGTGTGTATGTATTTTGTATGCATATATATATATATACACAAGCAGAAACATGTGTGCTAACGTTTGCACGCTTGAGCGTGTGCATGTGCGGCACACGTTGATCGATGGTTCAGCTTGCCTCAGCTCAAGTGATCTGCTGATGAAAGCAGTATTCAGCATCTCCCACAGCAGTTACTGCGAAGTGTTTCTATTCAGCACCTGTTTGCTCCGCATTTCCAAAGAATCACGCAGCCAGCATGAGCACGGCCCAAACGGGGAAGCCACCGTTGCCCCGGTACGTGAAACAGTAGACGGGTGCTGAAAGTTCACTCTGCAGGGGCCCCCGTGGTCAAAGAGCCGATGCCGTTGTCGAAGCAAGTTATTGATTTACTCAGTTCGGGCATCGGGGATGGCTTGTCTTTTGCGCTTCTTCCGGATCCCATCTCTGAACAACACAACATCTCCGATCGATACTCACTGCAAGCTGCCAGAGCTTCTGCTGCAGATTTCGAGCTTTTGACTTGTGGTTCATCCTGAAAGCTAAACCCTAGCATTGTCCGAGTTGCGAGAGTCCAAACCTGCAGACATAGACCCTACATCCCACATCCCCCACCGAAAGTTCTAAACCCCAAGCTCAGGTGTGTCAGTGCCACCAGCTTCTTCTTCAGGTGGGAGTTTCTTTCCTTCCGGGTTGCTTTCAGGGCTGATCGCCCGCCTTGCTTCACGAATGCAGCTTGAGTGTTTCGTAGCTTGCTGTTTATGAGGGACCCTCTAGGGACTGCCGGGAATCTGATGTTGTTACCGTTTCTATTCCTTAGGGTTCCTTATCATATTTATAGTATACTATACCCCGCAAACCTGATTCTAATCATTAAGGCCGCTGTATTGGCTTCCTTCGTCCAGTTTCATGGCCGCTATTATTTGTAGGGCTATCATCGCCAGGGGCGGTACAGTCGTGAAGTGATTTCTGATACACAATCCCCCCCCCAACACGACTATCACTATTACTGTTGCTTGTGCAATTACTAGTTACTGCTACTAGTTTCTGTTTAATAATCATACCTATAATTACTTTTGCTATTGCCATTACTATTACTTTCGCGATGCTGGAAGAACCTCTGCGGCGAAGCAGCCCTTGCCTTTCAGCATGAAGAGTTCCAAGACATCTTGGGTTTCGGGTTGAGAGTTTAGGGCTTTGGGTTTAGGGTTTAGTGAGCCGCTGAGGCTGTAGGACAGATAGATGTTTGCGGCTTGAGTTTCATATAGCTTTCCTTCATGAAAGCACTTACACCCTTATTTGCTTCTAGCCAGCCTTGACCCTAAAGTCTATACTCTCGTACCCTAAACCCTAAACCCTACACCCTAAAAGACAGGTGCAGAGACTGTTTGGGAGTCCCGCCTGCGCCGTGTCACCCTCTTAGGGAGCGACGGAGCTGCATCGAGTCGGTTTTGGGGCGAGGCAGTTCGGAGTTGGGGCGAGGCCAGCACATTCGGGTGGTTTTGGGCCATAGGGTTTAGAGTTCAAGGTGTAGGGCTCTGGGCTTGAGAGTTGGAGGGTCCAGGGTGCAGGGTTATGGCTTCGCTTAGGGTCGTGTTTCGTCTTGCAGCATGGTTCCCGATGCATAAGTTCGTATCATCTCTTTCTTCGGCGCATGGATTTGCAGAGGCACTCTTGACTCGAACCCGCAACATGACTCAAGCTTCCGAACCTCAGCAAGTTTCCTGAGAGCGGTCTCATGATCAGCTACAAATGAACCGCAGCGCTGTAGCATACATCAAGCAATAGAGCCAACAGTCGGAGCAGCAACACTATAGATGAAGGCTTTATAAACATCATCATCATCATCATGATCATCATCATCATGCAACCCATTCTTTCGTGTAAGTAGGATGAAGCCCTAAACCCTAAACCCAGTAGCAAGCGCGGACCTTCATCAGCCATGCCAGCCTTGTGCGAGTGTGTGAGTCGAAACCCCGTTGCGAGTTAGCCGGCTCGAGGTCACATGCACCTCCCCCTGCGAACCATGGACCAACCCCGCCTGCATTGTTCGAGTTGCGAGAGTCTAAACCCTGGCTGCTTCAGTATTTTAACAGCGACTCCGCCTGAGAAGCCTCGCCTGGAATGTCCGAGTTGTGAGTGTAAACCCTAAACTCCTGATGGCAAGGGCTCTGAAAGTGAGGGCAAACGAGGACAGTTAGTAGACAGTTAGTGGTTCCGGCTGGCAACAAGCCTTCCGCCTGGCGGATTCCCGAGTTAGGTTTACCTGTCAGACGGACCGGGCGCCCAAAAAAACCAATAAAAAAACCTTAAGCTTTGCTTCCTAGGCCAACTCTGGGGAGGCTCCACCCTCTCGGAGTCCGTTGAGAACTGCCGAAGCCAAAGAGGCTGGCATCCGGGCGCCGAATTCGTCGAAGGCTGGGTTTTTGGGGTTGAGGGTCCAGTGTCCGGTGTTGAGTCCTAAAGCCCCATAGACGAAGGTCCAAGTATTCTGGCTGGGTTTAACACTGGTGACTGACAGTGTTGTCCTGGCAATCGGTGTGACAACGTGGCGCTCCGACTCAAAGACGCGGTTAACCGCATGTGTTGCGTAAAGATATGTTCTTGGCAGTTGTGGTAGTCGTAGCAATGACAAGTACAAACTCATGGTGCGCAGACCGATTCGACAAGCGGGGTCAAACGCTCACGTCCAAGCTCTCATACCAGCCCCCCTTCTGCAGGAGTCAGGCCAAGGCCAGCTCTCCTTGAGATCATAAGGTACCTGTTTGAATAGGAGTATTCTTCAACCGGTGTGTCGAAGGAGATCCGAGATCCTCCCCCAAGCACCTAAGCTGAGTTCGTTCAAGCCTCCCTCACAACCAAAGACTTCAGCAGTGTGCAGTGCTGTAAAGAATCCCCTTTGCCCCCCATGAGTGATCAGACATCAATTTTCAGAGGCTCTTCATTCGATTGTTGGGAGTGCCGCAAATCCCTGAAGCCCTAGACCTTCGGAGGGCCTACTTGTGCCCGAAGCTTCAAAAACTCGAAAGCCTCAGTCCCCGAAACCTCTTGTATAGAAAACCAACAAGTCATGGACACTTACACCCAAAATCCTAGGAATCCTAGAAACCCGCAACCGGAATCCTTTGAACAAAAAACCCGGACAGAACTAGGCCCAGGAGCCCCCTGGACCCAACTCCCTTTCTTGACAGGAGCCGAGCTCGGGCCTGGATCTCCGAACATTAGTAGCTGCTTGACACGGCTGAATTTGAGCTCGGCTTTCGAGGGTTTTGGGTTTGGAGTTTAGGATTTTAGGGCTTTGAGAGTCATGAGCACTGTCTTGTGGGTCAAGCTGGGCAGTAAGGGCAGCAGTCGAGTCCCTTGTGAAAAAGGGCTTTGAGTTTGGAGTTTAGGAGTTTAGGGCCAACTCCGGGCGAAGTGGAAAGCCTGTTGCAAAAGGGTGGCGAACAGAGTCCTGGATGCAAAAAGGGTTTAGGGTTCGGATTTAGGGTCTTGATACGGTGGAGACAGATCGATAGATGCGTAGACAGCTGGCTAGGTGGATAGATAGGTAGGGCGGCAGGTACATAGATGCGTAGATAGATGGATAGTTCTTAACAGGTAGTGACAATTAGATAAACATGTCGTATAATGGTGCTAAGGGGTGTAGGAGCTGGGGTCCTAGGATCAACATCTTGTGGTTTGGTGGACTGGGGTTTAGGGCAACGTAGTATTCAGCTATGATGTGTTCTCCCGATGTCGATGTATCTTCGGTTAATATTCCTGTCATCCTCGTGTGTGAAGCTGTGGAGCGCATGGATTTCGGATACACATTGGGTGTCGCGGTTCGGACTGCCGACGCTCTCTAAACAGGTGTGTTGTATCAGTAGCTGTGAAGCACAGCATCCTTCATTCTTCATTCCTGGTGGCCTAAGCTCGAGATGTGTTCACTAAATCGAGGAACCACATGTGGGAGAGTGTAGATTCAGAGCCTCGCCCTAAACCTCCAAAGCTGCAAAACGCGAAAGAAGCCAAGGAGTCTGAAAGCTTAGTCTGTTACATTTAATGAGCTCACCTGAACCCGTAACCTTTCAGACGCAAAATCCGCAAACCCTAGTCCTGGCATGTAAGCCTGTCGCTGTTCTAGAATTCGAAGGCCCTGGGTGGAATTACACCACCCAAACCATGAAATCCCAGATGGAAACCTTCATACAGAACGCCTCAATACACAACTCTTCCTGCATCACCTGAGGTTTCGACCCATGCATGTTCGGGCCCGTGCTGTCCAGCTTCGTGGAGTCACCCCTCCTCCTGTCAATGCAGTGACCTGCATGCAAGGATAGGCTTCCCACCGGACACCGGAGCTGCTGGTGAAAGGTTTTCTGTGCTGTGTATGGTTCTATCGATGCGCCTGCTGTCATGCTTACAAGTGTATATAGTTTCGCATAGGCATGATGCAAGAAATCGAATTTTGCATGCGTGCACTGCCGCATGTGTGTGTCAGTATCTGTCTGTGTGTGTGTGTGTCTGTGTGCGTGTCTGTGTGCGTGCGCGCGCGCGTGCGTGGGGTGGGTGTGTGTGTGTGTGGGTGTGTGTGTGTGTGTGTGTCTGTGTGCGTGTGTGAGTGTGTGTGTGTGCGTGTGCGTGTGTGTGTGTATGTATGTGTGTATGCATGTGTGT